TTTTTCTTCTAAATTTGATGAATCCTAGGGACTTAATTGCAATGTTAAAATTTTGGGTATATTTCAATTCAATCTATGAGCCAAATGTATAATTTATAAGAGTTTATAAAAAATATTATTTTTTATATAGTTTATATACATTTATATTAAACTAACTAATAAATATATTGAATAAAAAATAATACAAAATATTAAAATAAAAAATATTTTTCTATAATATAAATAAAAAATTATTTCAAATTATTTAGGTTAATTCAGTTAACCAATAGATTAAACTGATTATTTTGATTCAATTTAAGATTGAATTTGCACATAAAAAACTCTCACTGAAGAATGCACCTTAGTTAATATCAAGATGCACATTAGTGTTATGACGAATGCACATTAATGAGGTTGAGAGCGCACCTTAGTATAACAATGTGAATTTTCGCAAATATTAAAATTTCTATTATTTCAGTACGTTTTCGATTTTATTTACAAAATAAAAAAGAAAAAAAAAAACACAATAATATAACTGATTGAATTATATAAAAAAAAAATATAATTTGTATATTATACATGTATATATATTATTTATTTGAAAAGCAATAATATAAAGTATTAAATAAAAAAATATAAGTACTAAATATATTTTTATTATATAAATAATTTGATAAATATAAAATAATATTAATTAAAATACACATTATTATTATTATTATTATTATTATTATTATTATTATTTAATGAAATACACATTAGTGTTTGGTTTCAATTTGTTTGGGATAAAAGTTTGGTCCGTTCACACTGCACAATAACAATCGAAACATTGCACAATTGTGTTATACATATTGCACTTTAGTGTTCGTCTGATTGCACTTTATATAGCAGAATATTGCACTTTATAAAACAACACGTTGCACTTTATCACCACAATCCACAATCAATGTCAACAGCTGCCACCAAAATATTACTCAATATAAATCTATAAGATGTATCTACATAATATTTCAATATCCATCACATAAAAAAAATATAAGCATGATAACGTATCAAAATTTCATTATTGCACCTTATATATCAATATGTTGCACTTTATACAGTAGTACATTGCACCTTATAACACAATATGTTGCACCTTATAACACAACATGCTATAGCTACCAAAATTGCAGTATTTATGATAATCGATTTAATAATATTATTTGGTTAAAGGTCGGATTTAGTTTTTGTTTTTAAAATAAACAAGATAACCAAACATGTTGAACTATGTGGAAAAATATTACCAATTTTTTTTGTTTATTTCTATTTTTTTATGAAAATTAATAATATTCTTTATATCTATGTTTTTTATGTATTGCGATTGCACGTTAGGGTTATACGGGTTGCACGTAAATGCCTATCGGATTGCACAAATCTGGATGAGATTAACGAATAGAAATTCGATACGAAATTTTATATTTGGGTCAATTATTATTAGTTTTTTTATATATTGGTTATTTCTGTATGATTTCATTTTTTTATTCAAATAACCAAAATAAAAAACAAATTATATTAAAAATAATTTTTTTTATTTAGATATCCGAAATAATTGAACGGTCGAACTACATAAAAAAACTATTATTTTTATTATTGTATTTTTATGTATATTTATTTTATTAAATACTATATTTGTAAACTTTTATATGTGTAGGAATCGAGAAAACTATGATTTCGTAACAAACATGACTTTCTTTTTTAATGTTTACATTCTCACATCATATTGTGCAATTTTTATAACTTTAATGTGCATTAATTAGACTTTTATTATATTACAAATTGGCCTCATGTGTTAAATTGAAATAAAATAAACTTGAATAAATTGCAATTAAGCCCCCACAATATATCAACCAAACAGAGCCCTCTCTCTCTAGAGCTGAAAGCCGAAAGCACATTGCATGTTCTCTCTGCCTCGCAGAGATTTCTAACCAAAGAATAGCCCCACAATTCCAAAAAGCAATTTCAGCACCACCCCGTCCACCTTCACCGGAGCTCAGCCCCGGAAGTTCCAGTCACCGGCGATATAGTCACCGCCGCCGTCTTCATCCCCCAATACGTGATGCCGCCACATTCCCGCCGCTAGGACCTCGACGACTCCATCTGCTCAGAAAAAAAAAAAAAAAAAAAAAAAAAAAAAAAAAAAAAAAAAAAAAAAAAAAAAAAAAAAAAAAAAAAAAAAAAAAAAAAAAAAAAAAAAAAAAAAAAAAAAAAAAAAAAAAAAAAAAAAAAAAAAAAAAAAAAAAAAAAAAAAAAAAAAAAAAAAAAAAAAAAAAAAAAAAAAAAAAAAAAAAAAAAAAAAAAAAAAAAAAAAAAAAAAAAAAAAAAAAAAAAAAAAAAAAAAAAAAAAAAAAAAAAAAAAAAAAAAAAAAAAAAAAAAAAAAAAAAAAAAAAAAAAAAAAAAAAAAAAAAAAAAAAAAAAAAAAAAAAAAAAAAAAAAAAAAAAAAAAAAAAAAAAAAAAAAAAAAAAAAAAAAAAAAAAAAAAAAAAAAAAAAAAAAAAAAAAAAAAAAAAAAAAAAAAAAAAAAAAAAAAAAAAAAAAAAAAAAAAAAAAAAATCGGCCATTTAATCCTCACACACCGTCGCCGCCTTTGAGCGGGATACGGGAAGGACGGCGGTGGAGACGCAGCTGCGGGAGCGAATTCCGGCAACGACATTCAGAGGCGGAAGAACGTCGGAAAACTTGGTTCGCCGGCGGCAATGATTTCCATGGCGGATGTCGTGTCTACGTGGACCGAAGTTGTTCTGCTGCCGTGGCGGGACGTGGTTTCACCGTGAACCGCCGGCGTGAGGTCGTCTGATCGGTGGTGCGAGAAGAGGGAGAGAGATACGCCAAGAGAGAGATACAGATAGATATATAGGATAGAAAAGAGTGAGAGAGAGAGAGTTCACCGATATTGGTGTGTGTGGGCCCAATGTCTTGTGGAGGTAAAATGTGTAATGTCCATATTGCCCTTAATTATTGGTCAAATGTGTACATTTGATCACAATGTATGTTAATTTACCATATTGCCATTAATGATGACTAAATTTTGACTTAATCATAACCATTGATATGATAGATCTAATGGCACATATTTATTCTTATTTCTTTCATTATCTACCATTCTCACATGATCCTAACTCTATATATATATATATATTAGCATAGATGCTTAATGGTAATTTTTACTTTTCCACTTAAGAATTTTCGAGTCGAACTCGAGCTATTGTAATTTTTTATCGAGTCGAGCTCAAGCCTCATAAATCGAGCTAGCAGGGAAAAAAAAATCAATCCCGTTCGATAAGGTCAATGCTCGACTCAGCTCGTTTGCAGCCCTAATCGTAAGTAGGTCAAGGCCTGTATTTTTTTGTAAAAGGAAGTAAAAGTTATATCGTGAAAGGAGGAAAATATCTTGATCCCCGAAACGGGTCAAGGTATACAAGGTATAGTAGTATAATTGCAGTCTCTACCTATGGACACATCTCAAATAAATAAAATGAATTCCAAATGTGATTCATTCTACACACACGTTTTGGGCATTGAAAGAAATATCACATCTCTGTAGTGGCATATCATCAAGGATAGCTGGCAGCTGAGAACGCTAAACAACCGATATTGACTCCAAAAATTTATCAACATACTCTTTAAGCCTAAATTTAGTGATGGCACCTTCCCTCCTGCTCTCTGGCACTTCTTGCCCATTTTGGAAGATGATTAATGTTGGCAATCCATAGACCTTGTATTCCTCAATTAGTCGAGGATTAGCATCATGGTCAATTTTCACAACCATCAGTTTGTCTTCATATTCCTAAGAGTAGCAAGGAAAAAAAATAAGTAGAAAGTCCATAGCACAAACTCAACATCATATTCAATGTCAATAAGTACTCATGATATGATTCATTCCCCATTTAAATTCTGAAAAAATATAAGTTCAAGGAAATTTTGAAAGCTATATTTTCAAGATTTTTTTATTTTTATTTTTGGACAAATCTAACCCTTGGTCATATAACAGTTTTTGTTGGTAGCTGTTTTGGTCATATGAAAAACAAGGGTGGCATTTTCTCAAACAAAAAACAAAAGGTGGAATTTTTTGCAAATTTCCCAAAGAAGGGTAACATGTGTCATTTTCTCCCAGTGGGTAGATGTACCTCACAAGACACTGGGTAGAGAACGAAAGGAAGAAAGTGAGATGGGAGAAAAAAGAAAAATATCGTAATATCACGCTGAAGCCTATTAGGCAATAGCCGTGAGCTTTCATACAACAAATTATTTGCTCCACTCTCTTTTGACAAATAAGCTTGAATTGTCCCACATAGTCCATAGAAAAAATTTGATATCTAGACAAGTGTATCTTAAATTACGGATATTTGATCCCATGTTGTTTCGCAAACCCACAATCAAATACATTAGTCAACAATATACAACAAGCAGAAGAATCACTCTACCTTGTCCTAAATTAAAAGAACTACAAACTAGTTTTGTAATTCACGATTTGTACGACATTCTGGAACAATTTCTAAGTGCCATCATGATAACTCTCCTTAAGTTTTCAAGTGTTCCTCCATAAAATGCTATCATTATTTGTTTCTGAACCAAATGTTTCCACTTATCAGCTAGCGGAAGTTTTGTTTTGCAGGCAAAAATACAACACTTTTTTTCATGTTCATGTAACCATCGATGATGATGCAACATGCACGGTACTATGAAGAGCAGTATTAAAGAAGCAGGTTCAAGATAGCAGCAATGTTGAGCATAATGAAGAAGGAAATAAAAAGCTCACAAAAGGATTATGGGTGTCTTACAGGAAAACAGAGTTTAATCATCCACTATATTTTGCTTATGCATTCTAACAGTAACACTTAAGCTAAGTGTAAAAGCTAGAAAACAGCCTCAGTATTGACTTAAGCTAACTATATAAAATGGCATGGCGACGCATTATAAAGATATAACATGTGGAAGCAAGAAGATATATATTGCATTCACGAACATTGCCCCCAAAGAAAGTATTCAATAATAATAATAATAATAATAATAATAATAATAATAATAATAATTCAAGAGGGAGATCAAGGCTTAAAATATCGAAGGAGCTCACCGTTCCGTTATGTAAATAAGAAGGCATTATCTACTAGTATTTCATTTCTGCTCCATCTTGTATTAAGACCATAGTGTATGATGCCATGTATTTGAATATACCATAATTACACACAGTGTATGATTTTTGAATATATTAAGAAATAGTAAATGGAATAGGAAAATTCTTGAATCTCTCCCTAAGAGGTCAAACAAATTCTTCCTAGTTTCGGCTTTAACATCAGCAATTTTCATATCGGATTTTAACGAATCTCCAAACTATTCGACATGCCTAAGATTAGGACACGAAACATCATTTTGTACTACACTCTGTTCAACAACTGACTCCCATAAGAAACCTCTGAAAAATGGGTATGCCGACATCAAGCATAACTCTCAACTGCAAACCTTAATAGCTCTATACGAAATAGAAAATGATGCCCAGTCAACACACTGTTTCTGAAAATTCCTTCCAAATTTTAACTATCTTCTACAAGTAAGCATTTGATTGATATATAACTCTTGCCCTTTCAGGATGCTGTAGAGGAAACAAATAGTTGGAGATGGTATTACAAATTTATAATCAGCCCCACCATAGGAAATGTATACAAAATAAAATCAAAACATTCAACCAAACGAATTGCTCAAAAAATTATACTCTCACCTGAGCAAGTGCTTCAATCGCAGGGGCGATCAACCGGCAAGGACCGCACCAAGTGGCGACGAACTCCACGAGGACCGGGCGCTCAGACTTCAAAACGACATCGGAGAACTGGGTTTCATCAATCTCCATCAGCAACCCGCCGCCGCCGTACTTGATCGTCAACGGCTTTCTCCGGTTCCTCAACCGAACCATGCTGATGTTACTGAAGGTGAAGGACGACGAACAAGGAGAAGACGAGGGAAAGGCATTTTGCCTGATGCTCGAAGAGGAAGTCGTTGCACGAACCGGACTAAGAGATTTGGCAGTGGGGGCGAAAGCGATGGACATGGACATGGTGGATTCAAGAATGGAGAAGAGGTTGGAATCTGGTATGAGCCTTTTGGGCTTCCTCGGTTGAGTGGCCCTCGTTTTTCCATTTTATCACTTTCATTTTCCCGGAATTATCTATCGCAATTCGCAACCTCAATTTTTTTGTTATTTTTATTTTGTAATTTTTAAAGTTCAAATTTTTGGGTTAACTAGTAATTACCCGTGCGATACACGGGATAGTATATTTCTAAACATTTTTAAACATTAATGATTAAATTTAGTGAACTTGTTATATTTGAAATAAAGGGATCGCCCCAAGGGAAGGAAGGGAATGGACGATACAAACACGTTGGTCGCAAACTACAAAATTCATAACTTATTGAAAACTTCTTTGTACACAACGTATTTCGTTTGATTTGGCGTCGAGTCATCGTCACCACAAACTAAAATTTTCAAACCACTTCGGTTGCTGACATGGGATACAGCAACGCATAACTGTCCATGGCTGAACACAGGCTTCTTAAGAAATAAACCAACATGCGACAACGATTGTCCCTGTCTCTTGTTGATAGTCATGGCGTACGATACTATAATAGGAAACTGACGCCTCTGGAACTTGAAAGGAATTCGGACATCGGAAGGAGTAATAGCCATTCTAGGAAGCAACACCTTATCGCCTGCGTGATCCCCAGTTAGTATCTTACACTCGATAACATGAGTTGAGAGTTTTGTGACAACCAACCGAGTCCTATTGCATAGACCCATAGAATGATCCATGTTACGTAACAACATGACGGGAGTTCCAATCTTCAAATGTAATTAATGATTTGGAATTCCGGAACATTTGATACTATTTAAGAATTCAGGTGTGTGAATATCAGACAGGAAATCGTTATTAGAGTCGGACTTGCAAGTACTATCAGAACTTAAGTACATCTGACCGTCAGATAAATTCAACAATGTCATGTACTCATTGATAGACTCAACAACATCTAGCATAGGCGCTAATATTGCCCTGTCCTTTAAATAACTGGGATCATCGGTTGCCTGCTTAAACATTGGATACGTGCTCTCTACAATTTGGGCAATCGGATCATCAGAGGGCTCAAGCATTATATCCTCAGGTATGTCTATCATTGCACAACCATCATTAGACCCTCATATGATTCCATCTCCAATGCTCGCTGTCCATTCTGCGAACCGAGCAACCTCTTCACGTTCTTCTGAATTCGTAAGGCTTTGAAGACGCATGTTATTTGTAAGCCGGAGAACAGTACAACTCCTCCGAAGCATTAATCGAAGCATTCACTATGTCCTGACGGCTACCCTTCGGCATGACAGGAAGAATTTGTCGAAAATCTCCACCAAACACAACCGATTTGCCTCCAAATGGTTTGTCCTTGTTAGAAGGATCAATTGCTCCCATAATATCCTGCAATGATGTTTGGACAACTTCGAAGCAATGTTTGTGCATCATTGGAGCCTCATCCCAAATTATCAAAGAAGCACGTATTATCAATTCTGCGAGACAACTTTCCTGATTGATATTGCAAGAGGATTCCTGGTAAGGATTCAATGGTATTCCAAATCGAGAATGAGCCGTTCGTCCACCAGGAAACAAAAGCGATGTTATTCCACTCGATGCTACGCACAACACTATGCCACCTTTGCATCTAATAGCAGCATATAACGTTCTCCACAAATATGTTTTGCCCGTTCCACTATAACCGTATACAAAAAAAACACCGCCTCGACCAAAATCAACAGACGACATAATTGTTGAATAAACTCCTTTCTGTTCATCAGTCATTTTCTTAAGAAGCATTTCGTGTTCAGCAGCAAGTTCGATCGTAATTTAACTCATCCATAATCAGACGATTTGAACTTGAATGCATACTGTCACTATCAGGAAAGGGCATAGTTGAATAATCACTCAGACTTGCTCCACGACGTTTCAATAAATACTCAATCTCAGCAAGAGCAAGATTTTGGATTTGTTCATCAGTAAGCAACAACCTTATAAACAAAATGATACATAAACAACACACCAATATAAAAATAATTGGAGATAATAAATAAAAAATAAAAAATTACCATCATTGTTGAATAGTCGACGTTGTCTATACAGAATGTCGTCCGACAAATAGTGCCAACATCTTGTCCATACCTCCTCCGGTCTACCAAAAGAACCAGAAACCAACAATGACGCAAACATGCATCTTAGAGAGTCTGCAGATGCCCACTGACTTGCTTCGGTTATTCCATCGATGTACTCCCTGTCATCCTCCAATAAACCCCATTCGTAGCAAGCATCTCGATATGTAATATATTGAGTCTCTCCGACCTTCATGTAATCCTCATGACATGTTGCACCACGAACGACATTGACCAAACACTTTAAATAGTAATCATCGCCACAATCGGGAGGCACGTACCGCAGACGGCCTACAGATGGTTGGTCTTCGTTTTTCCTAGGAGTCCACACATGCGTTTTTGGATTCCACATGAATTTTGACGGTGCCTCAACATAAGTTAGTTCCCTCGCCGCCGGATACTTTTTGTTTGCCTCAAACCACGCAAGAAACTGGCTCTCCTGTACAGATTCTTTACTGAGTACATACTGAAGATTATCATCATCATAAAAAATAACTTGATGCTTTCCTTTCAAATGGAAACTCAATCGCTGGACAGGAGGTTTTTTGTACTGCAACTCATAACCCAACAACCGCCATGCAGCCTCACATGAAGATATGTACCTGCAATCATAGTGCATGTTAATCTCATCCAAAGGCTTTTCAGGTTCCCCTTCGGCAGACGTTTTATAGAAGGATGCCGTCACACGATCGTGTCCCTTATTTACATACTTGAAAAGGTATTTCATCGATCGGGATTGATTGCACCACTCAACATTTATGTGAGCTCTGAACTTCATCAAAAGACCACGATTATATGGCACGACATATCCATTGTGGACAACAACACCATTTTTATCAATAGACCTCCCATCATCACGACGCCTGTAGCGATGACAACCTTCATCATCAACGGTTGTTGAGTCTACAAACTGTTTTGGAAACCGCTTGTTGCATTTCCCATCAACCATACACGACAACCCTTTTCGTACCAAACCACATGGACCATGAATCATGTGCTCTTTTACTGCTTCATAATACAGAGGATCGGATAATTCATCCGGTATCTCAGCTCATATGATTCTGTCAATATCTGAAGTATTAGGGAACTTGTTCTCCTTAGCTGAAAACAACAGTATATGAGCATGGAGCAATCCGCGTTTTTGAAACTCAATTGTGTAGACGACTGCAAAAAAAAGACTTATAAAATTAAATAAAAATCATTAAAGTTATATAATGATATTGTTTAAATTAAACATAAGTAAAGAAGATATTGGTTTATGATAAATGTTATGAAATAATATCTCACCTGCGATCACCTTGTCAAATATCTGCTTTGTACGGAAATTCCTAATCATTTCCTTAAGTTTTGCCCTGAATACTCTACAAACAATATCCGGTCGATCCTCCACTCTTAAATTCCTTGCCTCAAGAAAACGAACAATTTCTGGCCATTTTGGATTGCAGGTGAAAGTAATAAATAAATCAAGATAGCCAGCCCATCTACAGATTGCCATTGCATCTTGATAATTCTGAATCATGTTGCGAGCACCCCCAATGAAAGAAGATGGAACAATAACCCTCTTTCCTCGAGAACATGGTTCGGTGTCCCCGCGAAGAACGGCATTGACCAAACCATTATAAATTTCGCAATGGAGTTTCTTTTGATTAAACCGTATATATCGCAACCTCGATGATTCGACCATGGTATAAGCATCAACAATAAATTGTTGATACAATCTTCTGGCCGAGATAATAGTCGATGGTTCATGATCCCTATCATGCATTCTGTATGCAAAATACTCCCGCACACTCACGTGTTTGCGTCCATCTTCACTTTCCTTTTTGTCTTTAGCAAATGGTATGTCTTCTCGGTAACCATCCTATGTAGTGCCAAATAGGAAGCATTCCACTCATTTATACGCTTCAAAAGACCACTTTTGGTTTCAACTAATATGTCCCTATCACGCATTGCCAGGTCAAAATCTCCAACAACCAATACAGCAAGTTCAGAACTCGTAGGTAAGTTATAGCGCCTGGCATCTTTATACCTCCTTCCAATAAGACGCACTCTAACATTTGCTTCTCCAAGTTCTTGCATTCTGTCCCTGGCCATACGAAATGATTTTACCACTTCGTTATGTTGGTCTAACATCTGTTTCAACCCAACAACAACTGCCTCATGCAATTTGGTATCATCGGATCCTTTCCTGCAACATAAATCAAAACCAACAACCAAAATCAATTAAATATTCTTATAATATAAACCATTCTATAGAATATAATTATATGAAGATAATGATTAATAATTAAAACACATAATAATAAAAAAGATATTTATGTTAAAAAATTAAAATTATATACCTCACAACATTAATTCTGTTGGAGACCTCGTTTTCAGTATCATATATGTAAAGTTGCGCAAACTTAGGAGTAGAACCTTCTGAAGGAAGCAAACTAGCAATTAGATGGTAGTTCTGTCCGTGTAAAGCAAAAACAAGCGGTCCTGATCCCTTATTGATATCCGCATCAATTTTACCGCCCATTGATGTAAAATCGAACATGCTGTTGTAAGATCGTATGTTTTCTTGAAAATGTTTGCTTATGTGGTCATCTCCATAAAACAAATCTTTCAAAAATTGAGGAGGATCTTGTACTGAAGGAAGCTCTACGATTCCATTAACACAACAGCCAGTGTAATCTGGAAAAACTGCACTCTGATCATGAGCTTTTCTGTCCTCGTACCAAAACTTTGCTCCGCAATGTCTACAACAGTAGCTTGCATCTCCCATGTCCCAGTATTGAAAATAGAATTTAAAGTAAAATATTTCAGATCTAATTTTTGAATGACTAAAAAAATTTGAATAAATTTGATACATTAAATGGAACAAACCAGCTATTCCTGAAGTAGACCCACGATTTTTTCTAGGACGACCATTTTCCGTAGGATCTGTTGTGGACTGCCTCGACGACGGAAACATGATTGGTGTAGTAATAGTTGTATTTTCATGTTTACGACAGAAGATTGCACCTCCTATGTCCCAGAACTCTAATAAAAATAAAATGTTAAATTAAAATATTTCATATATAATATGTGAATGACTAACATATATGAACAATATTGATGCTTTAAATGGAACAGACCATATATTCCTGAAGTAGACCCACGAATTTTTCTAGGACGACCACGCTTTCTTTTCTGAATAATGGGTTGCATGGGATCGTCTTGAGTTAGATCGATAACAACACTTGCACTTTGTGTAGGACATGATGTGTAGTGGTTCGAAGAAGATAACTTTTTTCGTGCAGTAAGAGTTGTATTTTCATTCTCGTCGTCACTAAAGATGTCTATCACCATGCCCTTTGTTCCAAGACCATTGGAACGTTTTGAGCTTTCAACACGATGTTTACGCTGACCTATTAATTTATAATAATACAAATTAAAAAAATATGTAAGTACCCAATAAAATATCATGAAACTGAAGGTGAGATAAATAAACTAAGATATAAATGAAATACCGTTTGAAATATCTCTGAAGGGCATATAATTTGAAGCATTAGATGAACTTCCTGATAAATTTATCATCTGTCTTTCACTAACAGTTAATCCAGTGCAAAAATCAAGATTCACAATACCTATATATTAAAGGTCCAAACAACAACATTTAGCAAGATTAATTATAATCAATTAAAAAAAATAAAGTGTATTAACACAAAAATCCATGGAATAAAATTGTAATTGATATAAAAAATCTCACATGTGTTCCATACTATTACACATTTTAAATTAATAGAATTAACAACCATAGCATATTTAAGTTATATCAAGTAGCATAAGTACAAAATAATAAGCCCACTGATTTATAAAATAATAGCCCAAATTACAATTGGGCTATAAGCCAACATATAACATGTAAATTATTATTTATATTATTATAAGCCCACTGATTTAATATACACAACCCGCATTTAAAATAAGCCCGCTAAAAATTGGCAAAATACGGCCCAAATTTATCATAAGCCCGGGCCACGCAAGAAAAGCCGAACAATGAAGGTAGTGTATAAGGGCGAAATCGTCATTTCGCATATTCATGCAAGATCTAAGGCCGACGCGTGTCCCAGTTATGTCATTGAAATGATTCAAACCCTAAGTCATTTCCCCATTTCTCTAACCTGTCTCACCTTTCTATCCATTTTGTTCTCTCTCTCTCTCATCAATTCTCTAAATAGTTCAAGACCAACTCACTACAAATAAAACACATAAATGTCAACCGTCATGTCTTTGTCCCTCAAATGACAACACCTCGAGATTTTAACCAGAAATAATCAACCCAAGTCATCATAACTAGCAGATAATTCCAATAGACTCTCAAATCATCATTGTAAAATTCCACATACTAGTAAGCTCATATCCAAACAAATCAAGGGAGTATATATAATAATCTAGTATATAAACCTCTCACGCTAACACACCTCCCCAAACTTAAAGTTCGCACATAAGAGAACAAAATAGGAGGTAAAAGGAAAGAGCTAACCTTATCCAAGAGAAGAAGTCACGTCTCACACCATTGGGTTGCCTCCTAACAAGCGCCTTTTTTTAGTGTCGTTGGCTCGACTTATTACTCTGCTTTCTTCAAGCGGTCCAAGGCGGCTTCATAGGTGGCCTCAAAGGAGGCATGAACCTTGCAGCGCCATGTTTGTCAAAGGTCCCCTCGTCCGGTGTCAGGTGCTTAATCGGATCTTTTCGCCTAGATGGCAAATGATCATGGTAAAACATTAGCCCGTGCTCATGGATAAGAGGAAATATCTTTACCACCTCCAGGATGTAAGGCTCTTGATTTTCAGCATGCTCGGCTGCTGGTGGTTTGACCTCGAATAGAAGAGATGAAATTTCGGTCATGCTCGGGGCAATTGATGGAGCTTTTACATCATTTTCCTGTTCTGGCGGACTGTTATCGGGGACCCCGATAGCAGTAGAACATGCTACCAGGCTGTTATCAGGGGGTAATAACAACAGAAATTTGCTCCTCATCGTCTTCTTCTTCATTCTCTTTCGGATCACCATTCAGCTCAAAAATATGACTTTTCAGCACCTCGGACTCCATCTCGCTGCTCAGCCGAAGGTCTCCCACATCACTTTGGCTCGGTTCGGCTTGAGACAATAGCCGACTCTTTTCTCGGGCATCCAATTCGCTCAACACATCACCAATTTTTTTGCTACTAGCCATCAAAGAATTTTGACACTCCTCAAATAACTTCATCAATGATGGACTAGTCTCTTCTGTAAGCGAAGGTTCTGAAAAATGTTGTGAGCCTCTATATTGAAATTGAGATTCGTCGTGCTCATAAGTAGGCTCATACGATCGAGAATAGTGTGGATTTTCATAGAATGAATTTCCACAATCTCCCCAACCGTAATGATTCCCATCGAAATTTGAGTATGCCCAATCGTTTCGTCTATACCAATCTCTCTCGGTAGCTCTACGTGCACCATACCTCTCGAACAAAAAGGGACAATCATCGGTGACGTGCCTTGTGGTATGATATAGACGACATGGTTTCCTTAGAACTTGACGAACACTATCGATGGCTCCTTGGATCATAGCCGACATCCTAGCCTCACAATGTGGATCTATTCTTTCCCCTCTCATTTCATAATAAGAATCGTAATCACAATTCGGGTCCCAAGATGCATCCATATCGAACAAATACCACCTGCAAAAGAAATAAAATAAAATAAAAGGGGGCTTAAAAGAGTAAAAGAAAAATAAAATAAAATAAACCAATAATCTAATTACCTAATTCAATTAATACTAAAAAAAATCACAACTCAATTGCGTCACTCCCCGGCAACGGCGCCAAAATTTGGCCGCGCGTCGCGACGCGGCAAATTTAAATTTATAAAGTTTCCTCAACTAACCTCTATTAACTAGTAGTAGCAGCGAGTAAGAGTCGTTCCCAAGAGGAGTAGGAATTATATTGTGTCAATTTTGTATTAATTGAACTAAACTAAGAAAGCAAATAAAGATGGGGGGGATTGGTTTTATAAAAATAAAAACTAAAAATAATAAAATAAAATAAGAGATCAAATAAAATAAGAGAAATCCAGTTTTCGGTTCAGTTATCACCCAATCTAAATCTACCATTAATCAATTTCGACGCTTTCTTTAAATTGCTAATGAATTACCAACCCTAGTTAACAACATGCTCTGTTAACCGAATTTTCCCTTACCGAATATTTAATCGAAACAATCTCTTTGACTAAACATAACTAGCAGACAACCTAGAATAAGCTCTCTAGATTTAGTGCACTAGTAGCATTAATTCCTAGAAAAATAGATTAGTCTAAGCAATAGACGCAAAAGCTCGGTCCATTCAACTTATGTTCACGCTACCCTAGAGATGCACGACCCCTAGTTTACTACTAACGAAACAAGAACAATAAAAATTACGGATTAAAGTCTCGAATCTAGCAGTTAAACAATGAATATTCAACCTAGCTGGCCAAACTAAATCAAACACCATAATTCATAAACGTTAAACATAGATAGCATGAATTAATTCATCAACAAAAATAAATACGGCGTCTCGATTAATCAACGATAAAAATAAATCCTTCAATCCATAGACAAATCAAAGTTAGGGTACAAACATCCCCTAAAATTAGATAAAAATCTAACCTAGCATACTAGTGAAAATAAATAAAAGATAAAAGAGAGAAGATAAAAATATCTCTCTCGTGTGCGGGTGCTGCTTCCCTCCGCGTGTGTAGCCTTCTTCCCAGTCCGTGCGTGTTCTCTCCTGTTCGGCTGCTACTCTCTCTGCTCCCTTTTTCTTTTCTGTCTGTCTGCGCATGGCGTGAATAATCCCCCCAAAATAAATCCAAGTCTCCTTTTATAATACGTGAGTGCTGATGTCTCTTAGAAAATAATTCCTAAGTTACCTCCAATAAAACTCTTCCCAACACTTTGATATATGGTCTCTCAATTAATCTTGGCTGCCACGTTTTTTTCTTCACTAATTAATTAAGTCATGGCTGCGTGGTGTCCGTCCATTTCATGTGTGCTCCAAATAAAATCCTTCAAACCAAAAATCAAATGCGGTGTGTCTTTTTCTCTTAATTCGGCCTAACTTCACAAACATATGGGCCGAATAATGGACTGATATCGGAGGCTCGATTATCGCGTGAACTCCAATCTAATACTTCGCGTCCACAAATTACTCCAATATACTGAAAATAACACATAAAACATCAAAGCGAATGAATCCGTCCAAATAGTAAATAAGCCAAAAAATATAAACGTGCGCATAAATTAAGTATATAAAACTACACTATTAAATATATAAAGTACGCACATTTCTCGACCTATCAATCACTATCTAATAATATTTTGGGGATTTCAATTATTTATTTATCTTATTTAATGAATGGGTCATTTACACAAAAAAAATATTCATAAGGCTATTTGACTAATTTACACTTTTAACTAGCCCCTTTAAGTAAAGACCCCATCAAATTATACTAAAAATTTAAAAAATTATGTAAAAATCCTTATTTTTCAACTTTAACAAAGTGGAGACTCTTGTTAACTAATAAACAACTGTTAAACGAGTTTTAAGATCGAACTAACAAAACAAGCTAACATTCTTTTTTTTTTTTTTTGNATAGATTAAATCACAATTGCAAATATACAATGTTCGATGACTAACTAGCCCTTGTGTTTAACTTTATGTTGTGTGGATGTTGGAGTAGAGCAGTGTTCTATAACCTAGTCTTTGTTGCTCTACGTATTGGTAGATTATTATTTAGCCTAGTCTTTGTTGCTCTACGTATTGGTAGATTATTACTTAAGATACCATGGAGGTGATCCTCTTTGTCGGACCGACATTCGAAATGACTCTTTCGATTAACAACTTAAATAATAAAAAATATAATAAAACATAAATTGTGCCAAGGGCCAATGATGGAATATAGCCGGGCACATTACTTCGCCTTCCCTCTCTCCCTAAAACCCTTTTTCTTCTCTTGATTGAAATTCAAAGCCCTGTTTCTCTTACCACTCTCCATTAAGAAATCCAGAAAAATAAAAAAAAGAAATTGAGAGAGAGTAGCCATGCTTCTTTCACCGAAGCTGAAACTATTCCTGAACCCTTACTCAAATTGTAGCAGAGCTATTTCCATGGCCTCCAAGGATTTTCTGCTACTCAAGCCCTCCCCAGCTCTCGCTGCCCACGCGTGCGTGCTTCCGCTCCATTCTTTTGAGCAGACGCGCTATTTTCACTCCAATAGCAGAAAAAATGTCTCGTTTTTCGCTAATACGAGACACTTGCCAGCAATTTATCAGAAGGCCCATGGATATAGTTACAGCCCAAGTGCCGCCATGCCCATTTCTAGACCGAGTACGTGTTCTATTGCTTAGTTTATTTTTGGCGTTCACTTTTATATAAGATTCGCCTGCGATATATTGAAATACAGAGTTAAAGTTAGAATCTTTGAGAAACCTAGAAAATTAATCACGAGTAGCATTCGCATTGCCGTATAAATGTAACAATTTGGGTTGAATGTGCAGTATCCGGTGCCGGTTTAGAGACTGTGGAGAATCAGTTTGTAGATGAAGAACAACTTATCATATTACGGCAAAAGTTGCAGGAGATTGGAATTGGCCCCAAACCTTGTTTGCCAGGGCAGTACAATAGCTTGATTTGTCCAAGAGTATGTGGTTCCTCGTTCATTTTTCACCTTTTTCTTTCTAGCTTGAGTTGCATTATTGACATTAATCAAAGAAGCAAATTGTTAATTTCTTTTGCACTGGCTTTCGTGGTATGAGTAAATGGCTTTTGTAGTATGTGTGAACACTTAATTATTGATGAAATTGGTTTTGGATGAGTAACTTCATATGTTGATTCAGATTGTAGAAATTGTATAAGCAGATTTTTCCCTTTTTTCTTCATTTTATTTTCAAAACATATTCTTACTTTGATATTTGATTATATTCCCATTCTGTTAAAGTCACGGGCATCTTTGGCTTTGTAGTGTAAAGGTGGGGATTCAGAGGAGAAGAGCTTATCTCTTTTTATTGAACCGGACGTGTAATTCCTATAATTTTTTCTCCATAACTTGTTTGTCAATTTTTCTGTTATGTCTTAATTTTATTTTCATTGCCTTTGTGGTTATGCATTGCCAATGCTGTAGGTGGGCAGCAGTTTGGAACTGCTTTCGAGGTAAATGTGGGTGGAATGGCGCAACCCGAGTAAGTTTTCATATTAAATTTTACCAAAGTCTATAAGTTGGACTATCGATGCTATTTTCATTTGTCTTACTACTTTTGTTTCAGGCATATGCAGCTGTATCATCGACTTATGCAAAAATGAATGAAACCATGAAAGTCAAGCAACCACCTAGAAAAATCACCGATGAGAGTTTGGAACAAGAACCGTTGTGTATAGAGGTATTTGTTGCTATTAGACCATCAAAGGCTATTCTTCTGATTAATCATTAGAAAACAACTACGTAGAACATATTTTTCTGGTCTAGCTGGGAAATTACACTTTGACTAGATTTTTCTGTTGGACTCTAAAAGTTTTCTTCAATTGTTTTGTTTTCTTTTTAGTTACTTCGTTATTTTTCTGAGCGGATGATATCTGGAGAAACATTACGAAGAAATGGTGTCATGCAGAAAAAAAGTGGAGAACATGTGAGTGGATCGCTTATGATGGTGCACATTTGTATATAATTTTATGTACTATAATGGGGACTGCCTTGATAGTAAAATAATGTTAAATGTTGACATTAACTGTGTAATATGCCTTCAATATTTGTAAAAAATTGTAGCACTTGAATTTGTTGGACTAGTTTCTCATGATAATTTTTTTGGCAGATTGTTATTGCTTTTACTTACCGGAGGAATGGAGAGCTTGTAAGTTGCAAGTATTGTGATATCACCAGAAAATTTTGGCAGGTACATTCAATTCATAATTTTTGTTCATGGCTGAGTTTTGGGAAATTCATCTTTTTTTTTTTTTGAATTTAAGGTATTCTCCCTTGTAGAAGTAAAATTTGCAACAAAGCTTGTATTTGACGTGTATATGTTATTTGATGATTTATCACTGTGGATTCTTATTGTTCTGCTGGTGATGCAGGAAGCCAATACTGAAAGAATCTTTTATGGACTTGATGACATATAGCAATCAAGTGATATCATCATTGTAATTACCGCTCCTCGGCTTGCTTCATTAAATTATACTATCGTGACTCGGAACAACTTATATTCTGTCGTTCTTTCTAGGTTGAAGGTGAAATGGACAAACTTTCAATGGAAGAAGCTGGCTTCAGAAACTGTGTGAGTGTCCCTGATGGTGCTCCTTCAAAAGTCTCGAATAAGGGATTACCCTCTGAAGATGAGGTACCGTTTATTCTTATCTTAATATTTGAGATCCTGTCTTATATATATATATACTTTTTTGTTTGAAATAATGAACTCTCATTTAGATATCAGAAGCCTTATAATTTCTTGTTAATATATTTGCTTTAAAAGTATCCCTCTTTGATGTTTTTCTATATCTATACAGTTATTTTTTGGGTGCTGAATAATAATGTTAACCGATCTTGTGATTCTTGTCGTGTTGTTTCTATCTTCTCTTAATAGGATTTTTTGCTCGTGTTCAATCCTTAACCTTCGAGAATGTTGTGCTACACTTTGTAATAAGTAATAACTGCCATGCATAATAATTTCCCCCCCATAATAAAATAATAACGTATAGTAGTTGAGCAGAAAGAGTCATCATTATGTTATTAAATATTGTATTTCCTGGTAAGGCACATATCCGAGTTTTCCTAACTCTTGGTACTTTATTTTAAGCTAGGACACCAAGTATCAATTTCTATGGAATTGCAAAGAGTATACAGATAAGGTACGTTATGTCGATCTTTTTTTCTATTGTAATTATACTTTTCATTGCAAAGGCAAATGGATCAAAGTGATGCATTTTAATTCTTGGATGTTTTTAAGGCATCTCGCATTATTCTTGCCACGGATAATGACTCACCTGGTCAAACCTTAGCTGAAGAAATTGCGAGGCGCTTGGGGAAAGAAAGGTTTTTTTTTTTATATTTAATCACGTGCGTTATAAATCATAAGGTTTCTATTTAAGAACTCAACAACTCTTCTTTCATTTGGTTGAATTCAGGTGTTGGAGGGTGAAATGGCCTAAAAAAAATGACACTGAATGTTTCAAAGATGCAAATGAGGTCTGATAACCATTTTTTGACTTCTTTTGGTTGATTTTTGTAGCTATATGTAGTTGTGAACTGTTTAAATTGTTGAGAGTTTAGTGGATCTGCCCCTTTTTCGTTTAATTGCATTATTCTGCTTATAGTAGAACATTTTGAATTTTTCATACATATTAATATATTTGTATTCGATACTTGTGATAAAAGGTTCTTATGTTTATGGGTCCTGATGGATTGAGAGATGTCATTGAAGCTGCTGAGCTTTACCCAATAAGATGTCTGTTCAATTTCAAAGATTACAATGATGAGATTGATGATTACTATCATCAGTCACTTGGTTATGTGTTTGGTGCCACAAGTAGCATTGCCGTATAAATGTAACAATTTGGGTTGAATGTGCAGTATCCGGTGCCGGTTTAGAGACCGTGGAGAATCAGTTTGTAGATGAAGAACAACTTATCATATTACGGCAAAAGTTGCAGGAGATTGGAATTGGCCCCAAACCTTGTTTGCCAGGGCAGTACAATAGCTTGATTTGTCCAAGAGTATGTGGTTCCTCATTCATTTTTCACCTTTTCTTTCTAGCTTGAGTTGCATTATTGACATTAATTAACGAAGCAAATTGTTACTTTCTTTTGCTCTGGCTTTTGTGGTATGAGTCAACGGCTTTTGTAGTATGTTAGGACACTTAGAGTGTGATTGGATACGGATTTTATTGGTTTTTTATTGGTTTTTTTTAACTATAGTTAATTTGTTGAAAAAAGGTAGTATGGTTAGTTGTTAGTTTGTATATTAAACTAATATTTAAAATAAAATTATTAAAGTTGATTTGATGTAGAAGTAGAAAAAAAAATGATTGGAAGTCATGGCTAGTTAAGATTATGTGAGTGGATGGATAATGAATTAAAGTTGATGTGATGTGTAAAAATGATTGGTTGAATGTATTTAATTATATTGATAATATTGAAGATAGTGGGGTTGTGTTAAAGTTGAGTTAAATTTGAGTTTTGATTAGTTTTTTTGTTAAGTTGATAACCGATCACACCCTTAATTATTGCTGAAATTGGTTTTTAATGAGTAACTTCATATGTTGATTCAGAGTAGAATGTATAAGCAGGTTTTTTCCCCTTTTTTCTTCATTTTATTTTCAAAACATATTCTTACTTTGATATGTGATTTTTAAAAGTCACGGGCATCTTTGGCTTTGTAGTGTAAGGGTGGGAAGTCAGAGAAGAAATTTTCTCTTTTTATTGCACCGGACGGGTAATTCCTATATTTTTTTCTCCATAATTTGTTTGTCAAATTTTCTGTTACATCTTAATTTTATATTCATTGCCTTTGCGGTTATGCATTGCCAATGCTGTAGGAGTGCAGCAGTTTGGACTTGCTTTCGATGTGGGTGGGCAGGCTTTACCCGAGTAAGTTTTCAGATTAAATTTTTCTAAAGTCTAAAAGTTGGACTATCGATGCTATTTTCAATTGTCGTGCTACTTTTGTTTCAGACAAATGCAGGTGTATTATCATGGATTGCATGCAAAATTGAATGAAATCACGAAATTAAAGCAACAACCTAGAAATTAAATGCCGAAGAACTCGCACGGCGCTTGGGTATAGAGAAAGGTTTTATTTTATTTGATTTTTACGTCCGTACCTATAATCATGTAAGGTTTCTATTAAGAACTAAACAACTTTCATTGATTGAATACAGGTGTTGGAGTGTTAAATGGCCTAAAATGAATGAGACGACAAGTTTCAAAGATGCAAATGAGGGCCGATAAACATTTCTGAAGGTGCTTATGCATATGGGTCCGACTTTTTTCTTCGTTCTGACTTCATGAATATCCCTACGTATTAATATATTGGTTATTCGATACTTGTAATTTAAAGGTGCTTCTGTATATGGGTCCTGATGCATTGAGGGATATCATTGAAGCTGCTGAGCTTTTAGCTCATTTTTTTTTTTCTTGTCAAAAGTTTGCATATTGATGGTAAATGTTTTCAATTAATTAAACAGGGGTTTTAAACATGTTGCGTATGCTATAATGTGAGTCGTGTATTTTTGCTAAATGAATGTGATAATATTCATGTGAGATACATTGATAAATTCATCATGCATTGTAATAAATTAGATTTTATAATTATATAAATATCGTGAGTATGTATTTATAAAAAGTCACATGAGATTGCGGTGACCTTTTTGAACAAACATAATCGTTTGACATAGTTGATTTAATTAATTAATTTATTGTTATTTGCATCTTAGAGTTGGTAGACAATTTATTTATTTATTCTAGTCTTTTACTTGATGGGCAAGTCATTTACTTAGGGTTTTAGGAGTTCTATTTAAATTTTAAACTCCTTATTGTATTGTTTTGAGAGAGTCAAGTGTTGATTGAAAATAAAAATATACTGAGAGTTTTCTTGATTCACTCAATCGTTTACGCTTTTGCTACATCAATTGGTATTAGTAGACCGGTATGATTCTTACACGATACCACCCAAACAGAACGATGTTGTGGACGATAGGCGCAACGCCGTGATCAAGGTGTTGGGGCGCCAAGTCGCAGATCTGACTGCGGGGTTCGATGATATGAGATTGGCACTACATGGCGCTGTAATCGACAATCATACGAACCGCGCGCCGGATGGAGTAAGTGGCGACTGCCAGGGGGGGGGGGGGG